TACTTTTCTAAATTTATGTGAAATATTTGTCATTTTGTAATGGCAAGGATTATACTAAGGTTCTCTCATAAGCACAAGTGTCTGTTCTATGCCATCAGCACTGACCTTAAAAAAAACAACACGTGGCTGAGTGTCTAAACAGATTCAAGTGAATCTAATTTCCTACTTTCTACATCTGCTTGAACCCTTGAGCTTATGACCTCAAAAGCAGCTGAAATTTTAGTGTTTGTTTTCCAAGAATGCTGATAATCATAAACACCACAGTGAGTGAAGATGAGGTCATATACACATGGCACACTACAGTTTTATTCTCTGCAATAAGTATTGAAATCTATATCAGTATAATGTTATTGAGGTTGAGCAAATCATCTTAATTGGGGTGGGAGCTTGTAATGCCTCTGTATTTCCAGTGATTTTTAATATATTTGCAATTCTCTGTAGATGAAAAATTGAATAAAGTTCCTCAAGAATAGTTTAGGCCATTTATTTCAATTAGGAATAGTAATGAAATTCCAGGAAACTATAAAATGTCACTTAATCTATATTTGAGATAAATAGAATACTTAATTTCTCTTGACATGTTCCACAGTGAGGCACCCTTCTTGTTTTTATATATTGGCCAAAGTGGTGATTCCCAGCTTTGCATACTACAGTGACAATTAGTGACATTATTCTTGTCCAAACCCAGCACAGACATCATCTATTTTGCAATAAGGCCACCAGGATGAGAAGCGCATCTTTATGGCAGTAAAGGCTCCCCCTTCTCTGTTCCAGCTGAGTGAGAAGAGCGCTGAGCTCTCCCTCCTTCATGTGAAATGGGATCGGGGAGGGGCACACGCATGTGTGTGTTCATTTTTATTCCTTTCAGCCATCAGACACATCCCCCAGAATTTCTACATGACAGAAGATTACAAATACTATTTTTACACCAGACATAATTAATTTCCTAATTAGGGACAAACTTACAACCAGCAAGGAGAATTTGGTTTAAATGAGCTAGGTGTTTTCAGGCACACTTGACATAAGAAGCTCCTGCAAATCTTTGCCTGAAGTCATTCAAGTCCGTCACCTTTTAGATTCTTGAGTTTTCAAAGGTGATGAGTCAGAGACTACAGGCTTGAGGCTGAAGCAGAAATTTTGGGGTACTAAAGAAGAGAAAACGACTTTCATAGTGTTTGCCTCAGTTACAGCTAAAGACCTTGGGTTTATATTTGAAAACTATAAGAGATCCAGTTTGAGGAAGTGAGGTCTTGTTCTAATTCCCAAGGAAATAATCAAAATGGCTTGTGATAATTCCCTGTGTCTAAATCATCCACACAGATGGCTTGAATTCAAAGTTTGCACGTCTTTAAGAGATTTACCTTAAGCTGTGCTAAGTATATGTTACTTATTCCTTCTGACTGTAATCAAAAGGTTACATTTACCATACCAATACATTCCTGTCCTACTACCGCATCATTTCATCCTTCATCTTAAACACAGCTGCAATACTGAAAGGACAGCAAATAATATTTTTTACATGTTGCCATCAACATTTAATATACCCATTTTGTAATTTTACAAGTCTATAACTCAGAAATTATAATAAAACAATAATAAACAAGACAAAAAAGCATCATTTGCAGTTCTCAGGGACATTTTCAAATAAAAGTCCTAAATTGTCTGAGAACAATATAAATTAATGTACTAAGTAAAAAACACTTTAGAAAAAAATAAAATGCATTTATATATACACATCCTTACGCACACATGCACACACACAAACATGCTTCTCTAGAATACATTACATCCACAGATATTAAAAGACTCCAAATGAAAAAAGGAAAAAAATTGTAGTCTTCATGTAAACCATGGAAAGAAGAGGTGGAAGGTTACTTGGCAGATCAGCAGAAAAGCTATAGATGGATGGTAGGTAGTTCTGCATTTCCTGCCCTACTCCAGAATATCCACAGGACCACCAGGAGATGGATAAGTCTCTTGATCATTGCATACATGACAAATTCTGAATTGATTCTTTAATTCTATATGTAGTAGAGAATTAATCCAGTTTCCTCTGACACATGGAACACTGCACATTCTATATAAAAAGTATAAAAAGTTATGGTCAAAAATTTCCAAAGGTTTTATATAGAGGTATGTTATAATATTGTTCTTTCACAAATGAAAGAATACAGAATTTCATTTTTCTTACTCTAAACGGCCAGTGAATAATGCACAGCGACGTGATCACTTGCTATTCCCTTTGAGCCATTCTGGAAATGGATTGCTACGGTGGGTGGCAGGCAGAATGACACATGTTGAGCAACACGCACTCAAATCCTGCCAGCTTTCGTGTTTCTTATAACATACGATGATGTAAAGTGACTCATAGAGCAGAGTTGGAAAAAAAATCTATCATAGTTAAAAAAAGTGATGTCATATATATATATCATCCATTGTATATCATCCAAAATAAACACATTGACAACAAGCCGAATAAAATTAGTAAATTTGGTTCCTCTCCCTATCTCAACATACTGCATATAGAATCAAACCCATTAAAGTAGAATGACACTTTCTGTGCAGGATGAGCCTGTCTTAACAGTTAACAGGTACTATTATCAGACCCATCCATTTTAAATAAGGTGAGCTAAAGAAGAAATCAATATTCAAGATTTTGATTTTCTTGATGTCATATGATGGCACCTCAGAAGCTTTAAAACCCTATAGAAGACAAAATGATCCACTTGGTAAGATGGAATTCGTGACTGTAACACCTCTATTTACAAACTTTAAAGAAGTGAAATTTCTCTACAGAAGCAGGTGTGCTGCAACTACATCGGTAAGCAAGAACTTTTATATGAGTTTGTTAACATTAGGCAAGTATAGGTAATTTAGGAGGACAACAGTAACTTAAGTGAGCTATCACTTTAAGGGGAGGGAGAAAGCCCTCCTAAACAATACAGTTAAGTTCAGGAAGATGCTGTGTTCAGACTAGACATATGCACTCATGGATGTTCTGTTAGATTTGCCTACAGTGCTATCAGATTTGAAACACTGTCCCCAATAATGTTGTCAGCCTGCTCTTTCAAAAAAGAAAAAAAAAAAGAAAATAGGTATCTCAAACCAGTCAACCGTATTGTACTTGAAAAATGACTATCTTCTTTCACCAAACGTTAGAATAGTAACCGTGAAATTTGCTGTCCTATCAGTCTTACTATGCATACTTGCACATAGTTGCTCAAGCTGAATTTCACCCGTTATGCCCATATCCAGCTCTCTGCTGCAGATAATTAAATCTGATTTAATTCTTCACAATTATTACAAAGTCAGACCTTCTCTATTGCCTTGCTTTAGTATCATCTAGAAGCTGCTCAAAAGTAGTAGTCACAATTTAAAGGACATGTGCAACTGCTCATTCTGAAAAAATCTGACTTCAGAGAATTAAAAATAACAAAAACAACAAAAAAAACTAAACCAAAATTACCAGTTTATGTGATCAAACACCTCTGAAGTACTTCACGCTGAACTCCGAAGCAAACATACATAACACCACGGTTTGCGGTTTCTTCCGCAAACCATTCTCTAATCCATGGCACTGCCCATTTAATTCTGCAGTTTCATTTATTCTACTTATCATGATTTCAGCAGGAAACCTCCTCAAAGCTTTAGACAAAACAATTGCTATCTTGCAGATCACATTACTCCTTTAACCTTTTCAAAGGATAAGAATTAGGTAAATGTTGAGGTTTCCTCAAGCTGCAATATACTCTTCCAAGACCTGCACTTTCCTGGCCTTTCCACAAAACGTGCCTTGGATATAGACTGACCCGCATCTGGAGCGCCTGATGAATTGCCTTGACATTCACCAGTCAGTGTCGGCCGCCAGTAAATAAACACCAACAACAGCAGGAGTTGTTCCCCTGGCCACATTACGCTTGCTCCCTAAGATACTTCATCCACAGCAACTTGCACTGAGAGACTGAGTTTAACAGAAGGAGAGAGAGGTTATCGCTAACACAACAGAAAACTTTTGGAGAAAGAGCATCCTTTTATCCCAATAGAGGTATCAAGTCCCAGACTGAACTGGCTTAACAGAACTAGTTAGAGAAAAATAAATAAAAAGAACAGAAAGGCGGCACACCCCACATGCCCGCATCAGGCCGTGAAGTGGCAGTGGATCCAACCCTCTCTGGTCCCTCTCCACACAAGGCTGGATCTCAAGACAGGTCACACTTCCCTCTGAATACACTATAGTCACAACCACGTGCAGCCGGCACAGGGCCACATCCTGGCTGGATCCCCTCACCTCCAGGCAGAGGCCACCATGGCTTTGTACCTGTGCTAGGGCTTGCGCACCCACCACGGCTGCTGCCACCTCCCAGGACAACGGCTACACACAGGAGCAACGGCCACACCTGGGAGCAATGGCCCTTGCCTGGCTGAATGGCTGCACCTGGGGGCGAGAGCTGCACCTGTCCCAATGGTCACACCCGGGGATAACGGTCCCTCCCCAGCCCAACGGTCACACCTAGGGGCAAAGGCTACACTTGAGGGCAATGTCCCCTGGCCGGCCCAACGGCTACACCTGGCGACAACGGCTACACCTGGGGGACAACGGCCCCTCCCCAGCCCAACGGTCACACCTGGGGGGCAACAGTCACACCTGGGGGCAACGTCCCCTGACCGGCCCAACAGCTACACCCGGCGGCAACAGCCCCTCCCCGCTTCAATGGCTACACCTGGAGGCAACAGCCCCTCGCCGGCCCAACGGTCACACCTGGAGGCAACAGCCCCTCCCCGGTCCAACGGTCACACCTGGAGGCAACAGCCCCTCGCCGGCCCAACGGTCACACCTGGAGGCAATGGCTACACCGGGGGCAACGGTCCCCCCCCCGGCCCAACGGTCACACCCGGGGGCAACGGCCCCTCCCCAGCCCAACGGTCACACGTGGAGGTAACGGCCCCCGCCGGCCCAACGGCCCCCGGCCGCGCCGGGGCGGGCTGGAGGGCGCTCCTACCTTGTTGGAGTAGGGCGGCTTGCTCAGGTCGATGCCGTCGCGGACCAGCTTGTCCCGGATCATGATCTTCAGCTTCAGCTTGGGGTAGGCGAGCAGCCCCCCGGCGCGGTGCGCGGGCGGGCGGCGGGCGCAGCGCCCCGCGGCGGGCGGCGGCACCGGCTCCAGGGTGAAGTAGAGCCCGGCCGCCGTCTCGTCGGCCTCCTTGAGGCGCCGCACGGCCTCGTGGATGCGGCGCCGGTGCTGGGGCACGGCCACGCCGATAGCGTCCAGGTCCGGCTCGCCGATCTGCTTGCACACCTCCAGGTCATCGTAGCCGTTGTCCACGAAGGACTCGGCGTACTGGGAGAGCTGCAGCGTCCGCAGCCACTCGTACACGATGTTGGTGCACATGCTGGCTCCGCGGCAAGGACGGCGGCAAGTTTGGGAGCCGGAGCCAGCCTCCCGCTTTGCGCTCCTTGCCGCCGACGGAAATAAAATCACCCAGTAAAAAAACTGCGATGCAACTCGGAGCACTCAAAAGCGAGCACAAGAAAGCATCCCCCAGAAAAAAAAGAGAGAAAAAAAAAAAAAAGGAAAAAAGGGAAAAAAAGAAACAGTAATCCTTAAAGCGGCATCAGCAGGGCATCGCAAGCGCTGCTGAGCAAAACCCGCCTGTTTATCTCTCCTCTTGCGCCTCTCCTACCGAGCACAGCCGCGTTCTGACACTGGAGAAGGGAGAAGAGGGCTGGAGGAGAGGGCGCATCCCCTAAAATCCCAAGTCACAGCTGCGCGACATCCACCCACTTTCTCTGGAAGTAATTGGCAGTCGCTTTTTTTTTTTTTTTTTTTTTTTCCTCCCCCTCTTCCTTCCAACGTTAGTTTCTCTTTCTGCGGGCGTCTCACCTTCCTGTGCTGTGTGGCACGGTGGGTCCGCTCCCAAGTGTTGCTCCCTTAGCACATCCCGGGGGCAGCGAGCTCCTTCCCCGTGTCCCTCCCGCCAGTGGCGGCCGCACCTTTCGCATTAGGCGGAAAAAAAAAAAAGGAAAAAAACAGATATCCCACTCAGTTTTCCGAGTTACTTTCCCAGTCCCCCTTCACCTGCGGCAGGAGGAGGGCTGAGGCGCTTCGGCGGCAGCCGGCGCGGCCGCTGGCCGCTGCGCAGCCCCGCCGGCGGCGGGAGGTGACGGCGAGGGGCTCCGGCGCCGCACGGGGGCACGGGGCGCTCAGCGCATCCTCCTCCGGCGGCGGCGGCAGTTGGTGCGCGCTGGATGCGCCGCCGCTCCCGCCGCCTCCTGCCCTGCTGCCCCCAGCGGCGGCGCGTCCCCCTCGCGGGTCCTCCTTCCTGCCCCAGCGCCGGGGCATCCGGCGCGTTTCCTGCCGCTGCCGCCGGCCGCTCCGCTCCGCGCCGCTGCGCCCGCTCCTCCTCCGCGCCCCCCCGCCCGGCTGCCACCACTTCCCGCTCGCCCCGCCGCTCCTCCAACTTTGGCGCTCGCAGCCAGCCCGACCGGGGCCGCCCGCACGCCCTGCCCTGCCCTGCCCGTGCCGGGCGGGCGGAGCGCGGCGGCCGCGCGCCGGGCAGCTGCCCCGCGGCTGCTCCCCGGGGAGCTGCTCCTCGGAGCAGCGCGGCCCGCGGGCTCTGCCCGGAGCCGCCGCTCAGCCCGGGCGGCCGCTCGCCCCACGACAGGGACACCGGGAGCCCCAGCGCAGGAGCGGGGCTCCTGCGGGCTGGCGGCCGCTCGCCCCGAGCCTCCGGGCGAGCCGGGCTCCGCGGCGCCCTCGGCCCTCAACGCTGGGGTCGCGGCGCCCTCGCAAGGCGGCCGCGGTAAACGCGGCCCGACCGCCTCTCCCCACTGCCCCGTTACACTTCAACGTAAACGCGTCGGCTCCTGCTTTCTCGGTGAACCGCCTCCTTCCCGGCAGGTGCCCCAGCCCCGGTGCGAAGAGCCGCCGGTGGCGGCATTTGCAGCCAGCCCGGCTGCCCCTGGCCCCGAGCAGGGCACGGCGGACAGGGTGTCTTGCTCCCGCAAAACTGTGAGGTGCCCCACAGGTATCAAAATGCCATTAGGTACCTCCGACAGGCTTTGTAGGGAACCGTGTCAGCAGCCAGGCCCGCATTTGTGTCCCACGCTTCAGAGCAGTTTGTGGCTTATTTAGCATAGCAGCCTTCCCGTGAAAGGCATCGCCCTGCAAGGTGTTTGAAAAGCCAGATTCTTTCAAGAGGTTAAAATGCATCCTCTGGGTAGGAAATATATAGATCAATGTCTTGAAAGAGGAGAGGGAAGGAGCAAAATTTTATTCCTTTTAAAACCTTCCTCCATCTCTCTTCTCCTCCGGTATATCTTATTTTCTTTCCAGACCACATAATATTTCAAACCCTCCTCTCAGCACCGAGAAGGAGATTGAAGCAGCAATTATCTTCCTTTCACAGACCTGGTGAAAGACTGACAAGGCCACAGAAATTAGCAAGGAGGCTCTGTGAATTGCAGCTGCAATTAATGGTGCGGGAGAGAGGGAAAACTGCCTGGTAAAGCCTGGCTTATTGACAGTGCATGCAGAATTACACATTATTTTTACGTATGGATTTTAGAAGGGTTTTGGAAGGCTTTTAAGGTATTGTAAATGTCATGGTGCAGATGTATCTCCTGCCTATAGAGGGTGGGATTGTTAGCTCCTCACAGGACTGGAGGAGGAGAACTTGGTACCCCTTGGGGGTGTCGAGCTTGTCAGCAGGCTACAGCGCTCTGAAAATTTCTCTGCTTGTGTCTGGCCTTGAGTTCACACTGTTCACCTCTAAACATTAGTATAACAGAGTTTTATGTGACTTACTTTGAAATTAAAAACTAAACAATTATCTCCACCTTTAGCAAGGGCAGTAAGGAGGATCCGAGGAACTACAGCCTTAGCTGAGCTCCTGGGAAAGCCTTGGAGTGAGCTCAGTCTCCATGGAAGCCGTTTTAAGTCACAGGAAGGACTAGAAGGCGACAAGGAGCAGCCAGCATGAATTTATAGCAGGCAGAGCACATCTGACAAACCTGTCTGACCTCTGGGATGAAATGACTGGCTTAGGATGCAGGTGAAACGGCTGATGACTTGACGTTCAGCGAGGCCCTGGACCTAGAGGATTCCGTTTCCTAGAGGATCTCTAGATACATACACCAAGCTGGGAGGAGCAGTCAGCATGCTGTGGGGCACGGACTGCCCTTTGTGGGGATCTCAGCACCCTAGGGGCACAAGCTGACGTGACAGGAAGCCTGTGAGTTTGGTAAAGGTGCAGTCCGTGAGGTGCTCCGTGCTTGTCTGGCTTCCCAGCCTCTTTCCCAGGTGTCCCCAGAGGGTGCTGGTGGGTGGCGGGGCAGTGCAGCACGGCGTGATGGAAGTTTACAGCTCAGGTCACGGGTGGTGGCTGAGAGGCCTTTACTGCTCTAAGAGGGTTTTCTTACAGATGTAAGGAAAAGTCCTGGTGTGTGCGTAAGGTTGCCAGGAAATGGGTGGGATGTCTTGACCTAGGAGCTTAGAATTGCCTATGGAGCAATTGTTCAGATACAGCCCCTAAACACACGAGGTCTACCCACGAGGTAAAAGAGATTTCGGATTTTAGCTACTGAAAAAGATGATAAAGAGCAAGGACATCTCAAATTCAGCAACAGCAGTACTAAAGAGCTGCCTTGTCCTTAGGAATGTATCTTTGTTATGGTTATTGTCATTGAGCTTTTGCTCTACTTTATTAATAGGTAAAGAAACAGCGGAAAGAAGATGCAGTCTAACTAGAAAAAGGAAAATCCGTCTCTGGCAGGCAGCATTACACAGGTGGATAAAATCGGCACTCCTTCCTGCTTATTATCTCTTGGAATGATGTGCTCTGTGCTTTGAGAGGGCAACAACACAACCTAGAGATGGAGATGCCATCTCCGTGGACAGCTATGATCAGAAGGATGAGTGGCTGGAGTGCTGCAGGGAGTGGAACTGAGATCCTTACTGGGCTTCTGTCTGGAGAGGGAAGAAGAAGAAGGAACGTCATAGAAGCATGGAAGACCAGGAAACAGGCACATTTTGAGTGTTAGCAGCGAACTCAGTTTGTAAACTTCTGTTTTTTTTTTTTTTTGTTTTGTTTTCTTGAATGCCAAATTCAAAATTGGAATGTGCTTTCCAGTTGTGAGACACCATCTATTGTTTGTATTACATGAATAAAACTATTTAAATCAATGCCATTATCACTGTAAACAACTAGTACTTCCTATAGTTTTGTACATTGATTTCAGTAATATGAACTCTGTGTTACAGTCTACGTCTAGCTTCTACCTTATCTGTTCAGCACACTGTTTATTCTTGTGCTATATGCATATGCTAATTAAGATGTTTAGGTATTACGAAGGGGTAGAAGCTTTCCTGGAGTACCTCAGGTTTCTGCACATACGCTGGAAAGGCTGTGCCTTGTGAGACGAAGGACTGAAGCGTAAGCAATCCTAAGTGAAAGAAACACAAGGTAACAACTAGTACGGCTGAGAAAACAGCACGTAAATCTGTCTGTGAGTCCCAGGATAACCGGCAGAAAGGGACTATGAGGAGCTTAAAAAGTAAATGTGTTAGTGCCACATATCATGGCTTCTTTCATTTAATAGCCCACCCAGCATGGGAATTATCTTCCTCTTTCCTAGAATTAGCTACGTCTGTGCACAGACTATGCAGTGGTCTGTTGGCCCTGATCTTGCCACCCACTTTGAAATAAAACTGAGATTTCTGGCAGGTTTTAGTTTGCCAGGGGACATTCATGTAACACAACATAAACATGATGGATAGAGTCAAAAAAGATACATCATAGTGATGACAGATTCACTTAGAAAATATGAAGGGTATTTTAACCGAAACACTGATTTAGATATTATTTAAAAGGAGGTACTTTATGTTTATTCTACCAAACTAACTACTAACTAGTGAACTACTAAATAAAACATTTAAATCCTGGAAATTCTGTTCTAAATTGTATATTGTTAACGTATTTGGTTATATATCAGGTCACATTATCTGACAATAAAGTATGATATATTTGCAAAACAATATTCATCCATTTTCCCTGTTGTGCATTTGTATATAATTATTTTTCTTGGCTGAGAGAAATAGAAATGTAGCTATGTACTAAATACTCCTAAATTACTCAACCCTAAATACAAAATGTATTCAAGAATCCATATAACTGTGGATGTTTTTGCTACCTTTATCAATACTTACATGATTTCTGACACAGTAAGAAAAGAATATGGGCATTTGCTCTGGATAGGTAATTTTTGCTTCATGGTTAGAGCCATATGCTTATATAAATCATGACTGAAGCAAAGCTAGACAAGAAAACAAACACTTAGGAGGGTAATATTATAGCTGGTTAATTTGAGGAAGACTGGAATTAGTAAGATGCAGTTAAGACATTTGTGGAGTTGCTCAGCTAGAAGAGGGAACTCAGATTCACATGCAGATAGGCACTTGTTAGTGCTGCAGTGGCAAATGCATTGAGTGGAAACTAGTAGTTCTGTACTATTAAATGTAAATGGGAGCAGCAGATCCCCACATGCTTTTCTTCTAGGTTTCCACTAGGAATGAAATTATATTTCAGTGTAGTAAATATTACACTGAAATGGATGTGAGCGCTCATTTACAATGGTAAATATTTACAGAATCAGAATATTCATTTAGGTGAATAGAGATATTTATACTTCTCTGTAAAATGTCACAAATATTTTACTGTACCTGGAGTACATTGGCAAATAGTCTGGAGGAAAGTAACGGGGATAGGAAAAGGCTTGAAAATACTCTCTTACCTAAGTCCTAAAGTTCGTATGG